CCCCACTTAGACTATGCAGCTCAATTTTGGTCCCCTTATTATAGAAAGGATATAGGCTCCTTGGAGGCAGTTCAGAGAAGAGTGACCAAGATGATTCAGGGGCTGAGAAATTTACCCTACAAAGATAGGTTAAAGCGTCTTAATCTCCACTCCCTAGAGAGAAGGAGGGCAAGAGGGGATATGATTGAGGTTTTTAAATGGGTAAAAGGAATTAATAAGGGAAACATTGATCAGGTTTTAGAATTTAGTAGCCAGGATAGGACACGTGGAAATGGGTACAAGCTAGAAAAACTTAGATTCAGGACAGACATAGGTAGATATTGGTTCACAAACAGAGTCGTGAACGATTGGAATAGGCTGGATAGACACGTAGTAAGTGCTGAGTCAATAGGTAGCTTTAAAAGACGGTTGGATGAGAGTATGGATAGGGATGACAGGTGGGATGGCTAAATATTGGATTATTCCAAGAGTGGGGGACAAGGAACTGCCTCGTGTAGGTCATTAACTGGCCTCTTGCAGTCTCCTCATTTCTTATGTTCTTATTTTCGGTATTACTTAACTTTATGCCATTAAACAGTAGATGGTTATGGCTACCCTCAGCTTGTTGCTCTTACTGTGTACAACATTTTCACTGATCACACTACCTGTCGGAAATGAATAATAACGCTGCAATACGTCCTGGAATGTGATACGTCTGGAGACAATTTTCTCTAAGTCAACATAAACAAACAAACACTATCAATTGTTTCTAGCATGAACTTTTGTTTCTAGCATGGGCTTGTGGGTAGTTGCTACAGAGGATTATTAGATTGTCTATATTTCCTCTGTCCAATGACGTGCCACCACCAATTAGCAGCACCAGCTGCGCCAATCACAGGTTGCTATATGTAATAGTAGGCGTGGCCAGCTAAGAAACACAGGTCACATGACATTTTCCTCCTCAGTTGTATCATGGCTACCATTGAAATCACTTGTGAAGGTTGTGAATTGGATTATTGGCAAATAATCGCAAAATTTCATTCAAAACACGATTTGGTTTACGAGTTTCTCAAGGAACACGGTGTCCTACCAACAGGTGTGCAGTGTCCCCACTGCCACACGCCTTGTAAACTGAGGTCTGACAGGCGTGTGTGGTATTGTGGCCGGTACCGAAAGTTGCCAAAAAAGAAACGCAGTAAACAGTGTCATCAGAAGTGAGTACTTCGAACAGTACTTTGCCCGCTATATTTTCCTTAAGGAAAATTACAAACACCGCCACCACCAATTCTTTCTTGC